TATGAAATCCTATTATATAACATGTTTAGTTTGATTTGCAGATTTTTCTCTTTCTCTCACCATTAGAGCACTTTTATTTTGAAAGTGAGTGCTGCATTTCCCCCCCGCGGTTGTCTTAGTAAGTAAAGGTTTTAGGAAAGACTGAGAACTGACTGAACTAATGAAAATAAATTATTCTAGAATGGAAAACTGAGATTCTCTACTTTAAAAATATCATCTGCTTTCCCATATGGTGATTTTTGTTGTTTCTGTAGTTTTACGACCCAGCTTTAGTAATTAATTTGATTTTGACATAATGTTGGTCTAATCCGTTGATAGAAATAGAATGTAAATATCGTATAATAGACTGTTTTAGTTTCGTGCAATGCAAACCAGGGTCTATGGAGGGGCAGAGAGAAGGGTTGAAGCTGTTTGAGGTTGGTTCTGCACCTAAGTCACAGGAGAACGACTCTGATATGGGACTAAGTGAAATTATTTTGACAGACGGAGACAACGTAAGTTGAAGACAAGTGCAACATCCACAATTTCTGATGTAGAGACCATGCAACCATTTGATTCTGACAGCCTGATGTGGTAATTATGAGACCGCATTTGGTGGAAAGTCCCAACACATTTTTGAAACGACAGACCATTGGGTTCACACAAGGTAACAAACTAAAAAAGTCCATTTGTGTTATTTCATTGGTAATTGTTTTAGTTTTCAAAGCTCACTTATTCTAATTATTAATTAAAAAAATATATAATTATAATGTAACAGCCTGTAAAAATTTTCTAGAACTCAGAAAATGACTAGCCTAGAAATCCAGACAGACTGTAGCAGAAGCAAAATGATTTTGCTCAAAATGTCGGTCTAGCCACGCTCGTCTACTATTGGCCGAAGCAGTTTTGTGTCTTGCCAATCAGAACTCTGTTTGGTGAGCGGGATGTTGCTATGCTTATTAGAAATTGCTTTGGCATTAACTTTAGACTGTTTAGACTTGGGATTTTCTTTGAGTCAAGAGCAGATAGAGGTCCAACTGCCCCCGTTGACTGACATCCGTAGAAGTAAGTACGTCATAAAATTAACAGGCTATCTATGTCAAATGGGAAAGACCAACATCAAGTACAGGAGGCCTCAGGTTTCACCTTTCACCTACAATGCAGCGCTGTACCTAATTCCAAAACAGTTTCAGTCCAGGTCTTACCCTTCTGTATCTAATCAAAACAACCATTCCCAAGTCGCCCTAACGACTTCAATGACTCCTCAGGGGGTAGAGAGGAGGGGTATTCATAGGTAGTTTCAGCTCATTAAGCACCAATTGACCGCTACAATTTATAAGCTTGACCCTCCCTTATTCCAGTCAGATTTGATAAAATTCCTCGGATGAGAAGCAAAACCTCTTCAAGAAACCAAATAGGTCCAGGAGCCTTCATTTGAACTTCTCTGGAAATTCCAGGAGTTCCTCAGGGAAATGCTAGAACATTTGCACAAACATATTGCTGTTCAATTGTCATTATAGCCAGCATCTCAGTGAATTCCACAAGTCTGGTAAAGTCACCCAGAAGTTCTGATAGTGGAAATGAGCCTCACATTGTAGCATGACTGTTGCAGCAGCTACTCACTAAAGTCTGTTTACGGTAAATTGTGGTTATGGCTCAAAGTGGGGAGAAAAGTGTCCATGAAGACAGAGATATCTGGACAATACAAGCGAGGTAGCTTCTCTTCAGGCCAGCACTCATTTTGTCATCAGATGTCCAACAGTTCACCTGGCTGTCAGGGGACAACTGTAGAAGCTGTTGGATGGAGGAGGAGGAGGAACAGGCTGATATCCTGATGTTTTCGGTAAGCCAAGCTCCTTCACAGGGCTGCCTCTCCAGGGCTAGGAAAACATTGTCCAGGTGTGGAAGTTCTGACAAGACGATGGAGAATTTGATTCGTTTTTCTTCTTTCCAACATTATTCTCTTCTAATTCTACCTGTTCTGAACAAAACTAAAACGAGTCAGTCATTTCTGCTTAAGTAGCACGTATCTGTACATCTTCTATTTATCTTCAAGCTTCTCTCCCGTTTCACGCAAGATCATGATTCAGCATCATTGCCGTAGATCTCGGGTTACCCGTAAAAGTACACACAGCTATATTCTCAATAAGTTCTCTCTTGAAAACATATCCCATGGTCTCTTTCTATCAGATGATTCCAATTGCTTTATTCAGGATGAGTTGCACAATAGCAGCGCTGGTTATCATCGGAGCAAACATCGCTATCTCTGATGCGGTTTAAGATTGATGGATTCTTGAAGGTGCTGGACCTCCCTGGAAATACAAGACACTCACTCCGAAGCTCAGGAATGATGCATGACACCAGACATTATTTGCAGCAGATTTGGTTTGCTTTTAAGTTAGCTTCTACGGTTTGATAAATCCTGGGGGAGTTTTTTGGGTCTCAAGTGAAATCTTGCCAAATTCTGCAGGATTTATTAGAAAAAAAAAAAGGAATTACAGCTGTTTAGGCGCTGAAGAGCTGAAGTAGGAAAAATGTTTAAGGGATGGAAGATGGGAAGAGGAGGAGAAACATTTACATGCCTGTAAAAATTCAACCATTTAACCTGAATCTCACCAAACAGGCCCACCCTCATTAATATGAGACGCTTTTAGACCATGATGTGAAAAAACTGACCACAGCACATCACTCCCCCCTTCCTGCACCTTTTGAAAATAAGTGTTTGTTATATGGAAAACAAATTTTGCTAATGGAGTCCTGCACACAGCGTTATTATTATTATTATTATTATTTTATCAAAGGCCCTGTTATTTCCGCTGCTCCACGGCACGACACACGGAACAGGAAAAACGAACTGTTCCACCCTGTAGTAATGAGTTGTTTATTGAAACAGGTCACTTCACGTGTCTTTTTGCTGGTCTTGGGAGGATGCACGGCAGAAGTGAACGGTGGCTTTAGACACAACAAAAAGCTGTGTAGTTAATCTGATGACGACTGCGTTTGATTAAAATTTCAAATGAAATAGAGTTAAATGCATTGGTATTTTTCTATGACAGTTCCACTGGTGCATCGGTATGATGGTTCTCCACTGAGCGAACAGCTAAAACATTAAACAACATCTCACTCATTTTGGAGAAATTTATAGTTAACATCCAAAGGGTGGAGAGCAAAGGTTTGGCTGATGAAGAACATCAGAAAACTTTTGAACAGTGATCTGACTTCATTAACTCGTTCCCACTATCAGAACTTCTGGGTAATTTCACCAGACCTTCGCAGCATGGACATGTCTCCATGTCACCGGGACCGACAAAAAGACCCGCCAAGTACCTGTACTGTACTCGGTAACGGCCAGGTAGAGTCCCTGAGTGGGACTTGGGGTTAAGTCATGCTGATTGGTTGCAACTAGGAAGTGATCGCAGACATCGCTTTTGTAAAAATGGAAGAATTGCTGGTGAATAGGAATAGAAGAAAAAAAGCAGAGTTCCCGTTGCTTTAAAATCACTGTTACTAAACTCCCAGCACTGAAAAAAGCAGACCCCCCCCCCCCCCCACACACACACACAACGTCATTATTTATGCCATCTTTTTTTGCGGCTATAAAAACAACTGTTCTTCTGGTCATTGAATGCCGCATTTTTATGTCACACAGCTGCTCTTCCGGTTCCCTGAATGGATGAAATTACAGAATAAAGCTTTTAATAAAATGTTATTTTATTTCATTTTATTTGATGCTTTTGTGGTTCGTATGTTAACTGGTTCATGTTGTGTGTTGTACCACCAAGCAGTCACTCCCGTGTCCAAGACGAAGTTTCCCATGGGGACAATAAAGTGTGTTTTGATTAGAATGAATGTCCTCGTATGCCTGTTGCCACTGATCAGTGATGTCACTCACCGAAGAAACAGTCACGAGATGCTGACGTCTTAGCAAAGTCCTGAAAGGGCCAAATTTGTATGGAGACAGAAAGTCATCATCGTAGGAGAGGAGGGGAGGGGAGAAAGGGGATTTTAATGCTGAGTTGTGGTCGATGGCAGCAGGAGACTTGTGGGAGGTCACCCTGTGGCTTTGTGTACGTGCAGAATGTGAATATCCTCAGAGCTGAAAAGCTGTCAGCTAACCACTTTTTTGTTTTCCTTTTAGAAGTCAAACTCCACAGGTCGAGGGCTGCGGGGTTTGTGCAATGCCGAGCGGCTGAGGAAGGGTGAAAGGGAGTCTTTCAGCTGGACACACTCATGGACGTTTTGGGAAGCAGCGATGGAAACGGGGGAGGTTAGATGGCTCGTTGCTTCCTCTGGGTCTTCACTGTGTCGGAGCCAGTAAAGTATTGGATGTCCTCAAGCTGCTCAGCGTTAACCCGAGTGAAAACAAGCTCTGCTGCAGCGTTGCTCCTGCATGTAGGCAGGTAGACTACATACCACTCACTGAGGCATTGCTCCCGTGGGACAAACGGGGGGGGGGGAGATAAAAAGAAAACAAATGAAAAATCTAAGCTGCTAGCCCACACTTAAACTAATATTTATGTACGAAACGTGCAGGAAGAGTAAATGTTGAGCATGGTGTGGTTTGGGTTTTCCCTAAAAGAAGGAGATGATTGAAGAGGAGGAATTCCAGATGGTGATGACAGTCCTGCTGATATCGAATCTTGTGTGATTCTTTTCTTTAAAGTTTTATTTCTGAGTCTGGAGCTTCAAACAAGCTGGTGTGCCTTCATGTCAGTCATGATGCTCATAGATTTTTGAGGTTGTCTTTTATTTAATGGTTTGTTTGTTTAAAAGGCCTGAAAAGTAGCAAAAACCATAGTCCACATCAAAGGGAACCAGGAAATAATGCATGAATGCATCTAATGCTGCTTTTGTTATCCAGAATGTTCTTGTTTTGTGACTAAATGACTATGAAAATGTATTTATCAAATGATTTTCTGATTCTTCAACTTTAGCATACCCTGCATAAAAACAGATCAAGGGCCTGTGGAGTATTTTGGATTACGGGAGTACATTACAATAAACCATCACATGCGCAGAGGGAGTGTGCAACTGTTTTTTTATCATGCATTTCTTTAATAATTGATCAAATTCATCCTTATGACACATCACATTATTCACAGCCATAGCTTTAGATCATTGTGGACCTGTAACCCACAAAAGAAGCAAAGCATGAACTTTAATTATGACTTCTACTGAGATCACAGATGCTGAGAGGTCACTAAATCCAAGTGACTAAATTAAATGAGTATATAATGTTTATTGTGCATTCAAAACATTATTAGTTGTGATGAATGAAATATAAAAAAAACATTTAAACACATTTCTGGAACTCAGTCAAAGGGATGAGCATAAATTAGGTTTTACAGAAGTGTTTACAGAACAATAAACAGCTCAGTTAGTGGTGTTTTACACAGGATACATGACAAATGTTTACATGTTGTACACAGACGTTTTTGTTTTGATTTTAATAATGACAAACGTGACATTTCTGGGGGTCAAAAATAAAAGGTGATCAAAACGCCCAGGTGTAGAAACCCTCGTTTACATACCTGCTGTAATACAGGATGGGGATTTTTATTCACTTTTGAGTAATTCTCCCCTCAGCTTGGCAGTGATCTTGTAATTTAAAGGCTTCAGAGTCAACCCATAAGAAAAGTTTAGAGAGAAGTCCTCTTCCGGGCATTTTTCAAAGCTGCACTGGTGGAGCAGAATGGCAAAGAACAAAAATATCTCCACTTTTGCCACCATCTCTCCGATGCATCGCCTCTTCCCCGCTGAGAAGATCATGACATTGTTTGCTAAGTCTTTGTCCAGCGAGCCAGTTTCATCCAGGAAGCGTGAGGGGTCGAAGAGGTGCGGGTCCTTCCACCTTAATGGGTCGTGGTTGACAGACCACTGATTGATGAAGACGACTGTGTCTTTGGGGATTTTGAGACCACTGATGGTGACGTCAGAGGTTGTGGAATGAGGGATGGTGACGGGGACGAAGCTTGTGAAACGCATCGTCTCAAAGATGAAGGCATCCAGGTGAGGCAGCTGTGGTCTGTCCTCGACAGATGGCAGTCTGCTTCGGCCCACCGCTCCATCAACAAGCTCCTGAAGTCTGGTTTGCATGTCGGGGTGTTTTGCCAGCAGGAGAACAATCCAGTGAAGAGCCGTGGAGACGGTGTCCAATCCTGCACCAATCAGGTCTGACACCGTTGCCTCCGTGTAGTCGTTTGTCAGCTCGGTGATGTTTTCTTTGTCACTTAACACATTAATAAGGGCATCACTCATATCCCTAATGACCTCTGGGTCAAAGGTCTCTCTGTGCTCCTCCACTTTGTTCCTGACAAACTGGAAGAAACTTTTATTCAGACACTTAAAACTCTTGAAGATCCGCCTGACTGGGTTTGGGAAGGACTGGAGCCACGGCATCACGTCGACCAAACTGCCAGCTCCTATCGTCTGTCCGAACTGATCCACCTGGTGGAGCATGGCTCTGAACTCGGCATCATCGTGTCCATAACGCTTTCCAAAGCACAAGGCACAAATCACATTAGCAGCAGCCACAGTCAACTCATGGCCAGGGTTGAAATACTGGCCCTGAGCGCTCAGTTTAAGGAAAATACCAACCAGCTCTTTGGCCTCCGCCACAATTTGATCCTCAAACGTCTTTTTGCTCTGACTGTTGGCAGACGAGAACGCTCTGATTGTTGTTTGGGCTATTTTCCTGTGCATCTTCCACTGTTTGCTGTAACTCCTGAAAGTCAAGCTCTTCCCCCCTGAAACAAACTGAAAGGACACAAAGTTGGGTCTGCCTGCAAACTCAGTGCTGTGCTGTACCAGGGCCTCGCGGATGGCCCTGTCGCCGTTCAGAACCACCACATCGCTGCAGCCCAGACGTATCTGATACACATCTCCGTACTTTTTGGCAAGCGTGGCGAAGGTGATGTGAGGCATCTGACCCAGCTGCATGGCGTTTCCCACCACGGGCCAGGCGAAGGGTCCCGGCAGTCGTCTCTTGAGCCTGAGGTTCCTGACCCACAGACAGGCTTCCAGACAGAAGAGGAACAAGAAGGAGGCGACCAGAGCAGGACGAACCTGTCCGCTCCATTCCCTGATGATGCTGCTGCTCTTCAAATCAAACTCTGCATCCATTTGAGCCATTGTGTCGTCCAAAATTCTGTCTAAAAACGAACCATCCAAAGTCCAATTTGTATTTTAAAGATGACACTTTGAATTTTCTGTTTCTGTGTTGTAATTAGAAGATGAAAAAGGCTCAGAGTTGTGCCTGAATGTGCTCTCACTGTCCCTCTAAAAAGACGGGTGAGTGGAGCTCTGGTGGTTAGCTGTCAGATGACCACCTTGGAGGAACACAGATTCAAGACTTAGCACTTTGCTTATATGTATCTCCCTGGTGGGAGGTGTCAGCGACGGGTTATAAAAAAAAATAATTTCTCCCCTCCCATTTTAACTGCAGGCGGTCGACCTTAGTCCTGCTCCCACTCAGGCCTCCTTCCCTTTCCAGAAGTGATAAGCACAACACAAAGGGAGAGCACTTCATCAGCGATGTTGCTTGTAATGATTAATTTAAAATTTCATTAACAAAAGTTCACATCTTCAGTGTGACCTTTTCTCCCCCTTTCACTCTGTGCTGTGCTGTTATTTTGCATAAAATAAGTAGTGCACAATGAGCTGTTTTCCCTATATAAAAGCTAATCTAGCTGTTTATTATTATTTTAAATAATAGTTTTTGACAATATTTGACTTTTAATGAGCACAACCAAGCTGTCGGTTGCAGTTGCACAGACAGCGGCTGGCATGCAGGCTGTAAAATTGGGGATTGGCATGAAACAAGTGCAAACTATGCAAATATTAGTCCTTACCACACAAAGATTCTGTAATACTGTATTGCAGATAAATGTTTAAGCAAATGTCCTGCTGCTGGGGTCATTGGAGAAACATTTTTTGGAGAGGATTTTATCAGCAATCTGCTTGTGTGGGTGCTTGTGCAACAAAAAATAAGCTCAAAAAGCCTCATTTATCACTTATAATGATACTGAATTGAAAGCGAAACGAGCGTTTTGCTGTTTGCACGCAGTAAAAACATCAACAACGACAAAAAATGTTTTCAAATGACAAACAGCACGGTGTTTAAGTCATTAAGCGATGTTGGGATGCTTTTGCTCATCCTTCCTGCTGAACACAAATCAGTCGCACACATCAGTGATTCACAATTCACTTTATTTCTTTCAGTTCCAGCTTATTTTGCCCATTTGCGTGAAGCCTCAGTAGACCTTGAATGTTAACGCAGCCCTCACACGCTTTAACATCCACCTTCTGCTGCTTTGACTTCTCAGCCTGGACACAGGCAACAACAACAACAACAACAACAAAAAAACACTTCCCTTGGGCACCATAGCTTCAGTTCCTGAATACAGAGGCCTAATGAGAGTGCACTGACATCCATGTAGCTTTGAGAGAGTTCGTGTAAACAAACATGGTTTCAGAATGCCTCGCGAGTGAGAGAAATGTGCTCCACACATGTTTCTGCTGAAACGCGTTGGGCATCGCTGCAGTGCTTGTACAGTAAAGCTGAAGAGTCTGAAGCGTAAAGTCCACTCGCCATTGTCCTTTAAAATGTCCTTATGCTTTAAATACAGTAGATAGGTGATTACATTAGTCTTGCCACATGCAAAATATGAAATATGCGGCAAACTTAAAACATATTTGTTTTTACACGTGAGAGAACAAGAAGTCTTTCGGTGAATTAAAAGCATTCACGAATATTTCATATACAGTTATAATACTTTAAATGTAGGTATATCACATGCTCAATAATGGGTCAAAACAAGGACACCACTTATTCAAAGTTGCATCAAGCATGGAGTATTTTGTGAAGCAAATATAAAATGATTTCCACTGATCTCAACAGTCTACAGGCTTACATTTTACTTCCAGATGTTTTCTTCGACACTGTAGTCTCGGTCCTTCAGTGACAGCAAATAAAACACATTGTTAAATATCAAAATCTTACAATAAAAATGCTAAGTGCAAGCATACCGATACTCACTTCTAAACCGTCATTGGTGGTAAAGAGTTTGCTGTTCATGCTGGGGAACCCGTGCCCAGCAGCTTTCCCCTGAGCTTGGTTCTGACACCAAATTGGAGGGGCTTCAGTGCGAGACCGTAGGAGCAATCTAGAGTAAGAGGCACAGAGGGGTCGCCCTCGAAGGTGCATTGATGCAGCAACACGGCTGTGAATAAAAACACCTGCACCTTGGCAACCTGGGAACCGATGCAGCGTCTTTTACCCGTGGAGAAGATCATCACATTGCCGGACGTGTCTCTGTCAAGAGCGCCGTTTTCATCGAGGAAGCGCGTGGGGTCAAACACGTGCGGGTCTTTCCACTTCAGAGGGTCGTGATTGACAGACCACTGGTTGATGAAGACCACCGTGTCTTTAGGGATGTAGAGACCTTCGACGGTGACGTCTGATGTGGTGGAGTGAGGGATGGTCAAGGGGACGAAGCTGATGAAGCGCATCGTCTCAAAGATGAAGGCGTCCACGAGAGCCAGGCTGCTTCTGTCCTCGACGGATGGCAGTCGGTCTCGCCCCACTTTGTCATCAATGAGTCGATGGAGTTTGGCTTGCATGTCTGGGTATTTAACCAGGAGAAGGATGATCCACTGCATGGCGGTCGACATCGTGTCTTGACCTGCTCCAATCAGATCTGCGACAGTTGCTTCAACGAACTCCTTGGTCAATAAGCTGTCTTGTTCGTGCTCAATCCCTCTAATGATGGCGTCGCTCATGTCCCGGGTCGCCTCGGGGTTGAAAGAGTCTCTGTGCTGTGCCACTTTATCTTTCACAAAGGTAAAGAACTCCTCGTTGAGGCTTTTGAAGGTCTCATAGACATTTCTAACTGGATTAGGGAAGGACTGAAGCCAGGGCATGACATCGACCAAACTGCCTGCCCCGACCGTTTCCCCAAACTTGTCGATTCTCTCCAACATGGTCCTGAACTCTTCATCGCTGTGTCCGTATCTCCTCCCGAAGCAAAGGGCACACATTAAATTAGCAGCAGCTACTGTGAGCTCATAAGCGGGGTAAAAATAACGTCCATCAGTGCTGTGATGCAGAAATACCTGCACCAGTTCCGAGGCTTCTGCAAGCACGTGCTGCTCAAAGGCTGTTTTGGTCTGACTGTTTGCTGAAGAAAAAGCTCTGAGGGTCGACTGGGCAACTTTCCTGTGTGCTTTCCACTGTTTGCTGTAATTTGTAAACGTCAGACTCCTGCCTCCAGAGACCATCTGGAAAGAGACAAATTTGGGTCTGCCTGCAAACTCGGTGCTGTGCTGTATTAGTGCCTCACGGATGGCCCGGTCTCCGTTCAGAACCACCACATCGCTGCAGCCCAGACGTATCTGATAAACGCTGCCGTACTTTTTGGCAAGCTTGGCGAAGGTGATGTGAGGCATCTGACCCAGCTGCATGGCGTTTCCCACCACGGGCCAGGCGAAGGGTCCCGGCAGTCGTCTCTTGAGCCTGAGGTTCCTGACCCACAGACAGGCTTCCAGACAGAAGAGGAACACGAAGGAGGCGACCAGAGCAGGATGAACCTGTCCGCTCCATTCCCTGATGATGCTGCTGCTCTTCAATTCAAACGCCATTGCGACAAGAAATCTGACCAGGCTTTTCTCTCAAGATAAAAAAATACAAATATAAAAAACAACTTTTTAGGTCTTTGAATGTTGAGGAGAAATGTCGCCTATGCAGCCGTGTCATAAAAAACAATATTTTAGAAATGTTAGTCAAATGCCAGTGAAGTCATTATGATGATCATATTTTTTAATCAGTGAGTTGTTTCATTAAGATTTAAGGCTCATGTGGCTGTCTTTGCTCCTCTCCAGCGTCTTTAAATGCTTTGCAGTTAGTGGGCAGGGCTCAGGATAACTTTCACACTCCTCCCATTGTGGTAGCACAGCGAACACCACTTCAGTGTATTATCTCTCTGCTGTTGGTCGTTCCCAGAGACGCGACGCTCTCAGCAAGAAGTGTGGCTGTCGGCCATCTGGCCAAGAAGAAGAAAATACAGGAACTGGGCTCCTCTCCTCTTTTAGGATTTAACTCATTCTTTTTTACATTTGTGTTTATTTTCTGAATACAGAAGACTCTGCTGATGCACTTTAAACAAGAAAAAGTTTCCACATGGTTGACTGGAATTAACATTTGAGCATTTTTCCACTCAGTTTTCTTTAATTAATTATGTAGTTCAGCGCTTCTCTTGTTTAATAACTGAACACACTCTGCACCAATTATGTGTTTTAAGTATTAGGTAATTTTGTTATTTATTAATACAATTAATTCTGGATTCAGTTACTTAAAATGTGTTTTTTACAGTAAACTTGAATATTTTATAAGATTGCACATGAAAATCACATCTTCTGCTTTTCAGTTTGTTAAATAAACACAAAATAAAATAAAAATATTCCAGGAGAAGTTTCCCACAAAACCATCGGTTCCTTCTGTCTTTCTCTCTAAATTGGTTCCCTTTACCATCTTAACTCAAACAATCGCCACAACATGCTGACTAGAGGGTTATGTAAAACCTAATTCAGAGCAGAAAAACCATCAGTTATAGATGCTTGAATCATTTTATTTCTTTGACAAGTACGCTCTGGTTCTGCAGGAATTACGTCATTTAGCCAAACAAACTTTAGGTTCATCATCTTCAGCAATTACGCGAAATCACAAAGAAATTAGGACGCCAAATCAGGATTATATTTTTGTGTCTTTGCTAAAAACATCACCAACTAATCAATAAGTATTTCTGCAAATCAGCAATAATTGGAAATCAAATTAGAGGTTGATTTGAGAAAACTATTTGGTGAGTTATGTAACCGCTTTTGGTGTGTGGTAAAAGTGTAACAAAAGAAAGGAACATAATAATTTGTTATGCAATGCATGAAGGTCAAGTTTACTGAGAAAACATTTTTTACTTGTTCATTTTGAAATGTGATCAGTTTAACATGCAGGAAACATGAAAACAGTCTTCTCCCCGTGTTTCCTGCATTAGGGGTTGGGGTTAGCCCACAAAACACAGACGAGGAGACGTTCAGATCAGAAAAGCCAGTCGGATCTACATCACAGGGAAAGTTAGCATTCATGGACGACATCAACGTTGGAAAGCAGAGTAAGTAGGAGAGTCATGTTGCTGTTAGCCTATCAGAGTCAAGATGTTCGAAAATCAGGAAAAACACTCAGAAACCTGCTGTCTGCTCACCTCTGCTCTGGCTCACTTCTAGTTCCTGAAACAGGAGCTTGAGAACTTTTTTTCTACTGAGCATTCACTTATACTAGAAATCACTGCAAGTGTGTTCAAAGAACAAGTGAACTTGGTCTTTAATAAGTCATGATACAGAATGTAAAAAAAAAATCTCAATGGCGTGCTTTTAAAATATTTTTTTTCCATATTTTCACATTTACGACCCTTGATTTTTAATAATTACAACTAAACAAATAAGAGAATAGACAGGCTGGTATCATAAAAAGTCATCAATAACCACATTATATGTTGAATGTTTCTTTCTCTCATTTTTTTGATGATGGCTCTGAAAGAGCCGTTTACTCATGTCAAGACTTTTCAAAGTTCTGCCTTAGAGCTGTTTGTCTTGAGTAATGCGGTGTGGCTGAGCACCAAAGCCCCTAGAATGATTCCTTGGTTAACCAGACGCAGCAATTCCTCGAATCTGCACCGTGCATCGTTGTTTCATTTCTCCTGTTCCTAGAGGAGAACCCTCCCATTTTTCATTCATCAGCCTGCACTTCACGCACATGTGGCCACTTGCACCCCCATCACGCTAATTAAAGCCAGGTTTGTGGCTGAGGAAGGGGGTACTTGGGTGGCAGGAGGGGTTTGTATGTGTATGGGAGGGGTAATGGGGGTGTCATGTGTGCATTTTGCGTGTGGCTGCCGTGTTTGCCTTTGATTACTCCTTGTAACCTGGCTGTGAAAGGTTGGCCATGACCCCACGTTGACTCTGGCTGAGACTGGAGGGGTGGGCGGGGAAGGCGGGGTTTTAGGGATGGAGTCTGCGTGTGGAGATGGGACCAATGGTAGGCCAGCCTGCCCCGTCTCTGGAGTTAATCATTGTTTACTAGTCTCATTTCCACTTCGCAGTGAGCTACTGTCACGCACAGCTCGGGGGGAGGGGGGGCAGGTAGTGAAGCAGTCGTTGGAGGAAAACCAGAGGTCCACCAAAAAAAGCCTCTGGGACTTACAAAAGGGACGACTTTAGAGAAATAGAAATGTAACGAAAAATATTCTGCAGCCAAAAACAACCGAGACAAACCAGCAAACAGACAAACGAAAACATGTTGTGGACCATCGCCGTCTTCGGCAGGCGGGAGGTAACCACCGGACATAGCTAGTTACAGCTCATCATGTTTCAGATGAGAGCCTTTTCTAAAGCCAGACCACAGGATGAGGAAATAGAGATACTTGAAAATCGTCATCGTCTGACATGATTGTTGTTTGCATGAACAAACAATCTGAGAAAAGGCCGACAAAGTCACTATTAATTTAAGTGTTGACATACCAATAAATCCCTGTTGGTCGTGTGGTTTAAGTGGTTCTGGAAGCGCCGTTTGCAGGAAAAAACAAAGATGTTTCAATTGTGTTATAGACTGTTCGGGGCCTCTGATTTATTTGTCTTTGGTTTTTTTATTAAAAGAAGAATTTGACCATCCAGCAAAGAAAAACTGTAATGTCCTAAAGCTAGGATCATTCATATTTATTTGGCTGCTGGATGTCTCAGGAAGTAAAGAGTCTGTAAAGTTTCTTTAAAGGAAACCTCAGTGAGCTTTAACCAGATTGAAATGAGTAAGGCTTTGTTTGACTAATTAGACCCGTTTACACTATCGGAACTATCGAGCGATGTGACTGGACCTTTGCTTCGTGAGCGTCTGTCTATTTTACTGGGTAAAGTACCTGTCTTGGGGTATGTCCTAGGAATAGGCCCGGTAGAGTCGCCAGGTGAGACTTGTGGTTACCTGCTGACTGGTTACGACTCACTAGAAAATGACACCAACCCAAATCTAAATAGTCCAAAGTAGATGCCAAAGCCGTTTCAAATGATTTGTCGTCATCTTTATTTATTTCTTTTTCTCTATTGCAGTAAGACCCTGCCCACCGAATCAACAGAGAGATGTGACTGGCCATCTACCAGACTGGTACGGCCTGCTGAGGCTCTTATGGAGCGTGGCTGGACCGATAGGCAGAGTGAAATAACTTTGCTTCAGCTACTGTCCATGTTTCTAGGCCAGGCCGCTGCAGCGGGGATGAACGTGCGTGATGTGCCGAGCTTTGGTCAATGAGCTCAGACCTCCCTGAGGCTAAGGCATGGGGGAGGGAAGGTGTGAGGCTGCTCTGAGTTATTAAAGTAAGAGCAGAAATGACTTCCAGATGACCCTAGATCTGTAGACTCAGCAACAGCGAACAGCAGACAAATTACATTATCACATATATTTGTCTATATTCATTTTCAGCAGAAAATTGCTGAACATAATTAAACCCACCATGACAAATTATGGATTTATACAGAAAAAAAGTATCATTTTTTAAACATATTTTTCAATTATGTAGACTCATTCTTTTCTCCGCTTCTGGATAAAATTAAAGTAGCAACCCACCTTGAACAACAAACTACCTGCAGATGCAACAACTCCTCTTATAACTAACATGTGAAGAGGACATTCACTGATTGTCCTCTAAAGACGGTCCAGGTTTTATAAAGAAAGCCGTGTTTCATTTCAAACTGAAATGTTTCTTTTAAAAATACAGACTTGATTTCTTGATAAATGCCGTCACATGTGGAACATGTCAGGCATTTATAGTTATTCATTTAACGGACGCTTTGATCCAAAGGACACTTTATATGTGAAGAAAAGCCAATGATTAATGTTTTTAGTTAGTGGATGTTTTTTTCTGCCTCCAAACATGATTAAAGATTAATGCGTTCATCTGCCGTCTGTCCTAACTTTTTCTAGCTTGCATGACCAAAGCTGCAGAAAGGATCACTGTAGATCCTTCCAACGCTCCAGAATCAATCTATTCTGTTTTGTATGAGTGAAACAAAAGGTAGGAAACCCATTTTATTGCAACAACTACTTATTATTTTAACTGACAAAGCAAATTTAAAATCATGCATTCATTTCAAGTTTATCTAGACATTTTTAATGCATTTTATTCACTTCTTATTGCTAAATCTAACTGCCAGTACTGTACTGTGAGATGCTCTGTTGCAGCCTTGTCTGTTAACTCTCGAGCATTTCAGCCCTGAAAATGATCAGTGAGCAGTCGGGTTTTCCTGTTCTGCAGAGGAGCTGATGGGAAAGCAGTGAAACTGAATTCCTTCTATGTGTTTTGCTGCAATTCAGATGGGAAAAGGTGTATTTTAAATATAAACTAAATCTAAACATAAAAGTGAAAGCAACAGCAGAAGAAAAACTACATGAAAATATATTTCTGGTATCTGTGTGTGGGCTCTTGTTCTCTCCTTCACCACACGCAGCATTTGCATGCCACAGTCTTGTATATTTCAGATTGTAAATTGTTAAGCAATTAGTGTTGAGCAGAAACTTCACCAAGACCAGTAAATTCACTCGACTCCTTTTAAATCACATCTGCTGAAAACGCTCGGAGCTTTCACGGAAACGCTCTGCTAATTTCGAGTCATCTTCTTTGCACTTTTGGAAATGCAAGAACTTTTCCAAGTTTCAAAAGCTTGAAAACGAGTCCGACTTCTGCAAGGCATCACAGAAACTATTGCACATTCTTGTTGGCTAATTTATTGAAACACATTCACTGAGGATCAAAAGACCTTCAGATGGTAATACT